CGATTATGTAATTGTGGCATCCATAATTGTAATTGCGATTAGAAATTTGATTAATTGTGCAGCCCTAGTTCACAGTCTGCATTTGATCAGTTCATGCATTCCCTGGGAATCGAACCCATGACCTACTCTTTGAACTGGCCATTGCTTAAAGGAATAGTTCAGCATTATTTACTCATCCTCAAATCTGTAAGAGTCTTCATGCAGGTCTTGTAGCTCAAACAGTGGTGCAAGGTTGTGGGTTCGATACCCAAGCAATGCATGAACTGATAAAATGCATGCATTGAATGCAGTGTAAGTTGCTTTGGATGAAAGCATCTGCCAAATGCATGAATGTGAATGCTTCTGAATTGTTGCTTAAACAGGTCATCCGCTCGTTTCGATTCAAATGACAACACAATGAAGAACCGTGGCAAATATTTACAAAACACATTATGATATCAGCTAAATCCGTGTTAATCTCACATGTGAATGAGACACAATGATGTCATGTGACCAATGCTGCGTGTCAAGAATCCAGCTCTTCTAAATATAGCCCAACATGATTAGCCACAGCACACTGGCTCCTCTGTTTAACGTGGTTTTCTGGGGTTAACGTGATCTGGTGGAGGTCTGGCGGATCTTTAGGGTGGTAATGGACGACTCTGACATGTTTGGAGTTACACATTCCATGGCAGTGTGTGGACATGTTCACACTTTCCACACGCTCGGCGCAGGTGTGCCACACGCAGACAAGCATGCAAACACTCATCAACTCTAGTTGATTGAGTTAACTTGCTCAGTGGTTGCTCAGTTAAGTGTGATTAATGTGTGTGTGCAAGGAAAAAAAAAGACTTCTACTAACTTGAAAAAAGTTAACAAACTCCGTAATTAGGTTAGTGAAACTGAGTTTTATGAGTTCTGCTGGCTTGTTAGGGTGTGTGTAACTAGCAGATAACCTATTACTGTAGATATTTCTATGAAAACCCAGATTTGCTCAGTTGTAGCTCTTTTATAGCTCTGGAGACTCAATGGAGCTTTCACTTATATCAACTTTTATGCCAGATAATCAAATTTCTTACTGATACATTAAAAGAAATTGGAAAGAGAGAATTTGATGACAAGTATTTGAGCTCAGAATGAGATCTTTACATTTTGAGCACACTTCTGAGAAGATTTCTTTTTCCTGAAAGAAACATTTAAGATTTAAGAGTCTCCGTTTGCTCTCCAATGCTGTCGAGGAGAATCAGTTGAGTTATAAAATGGATTTATTTTTATTAATGTTAATATTTTAATTCTTATGAGAAATATTTAAGACTCTCCGTCTGCTCTCAATTTTATGGAAGCTTGTTTCCTCCACTACCAATTAAAGGTAAAAAAGAAATGAAAAAAAAAATAGCCTTTTTATTTCACAATTCTGAATTTTTTCGAAGAATAGTAAGATATAAACTCACAATTCTGACTCTTTTCTCACAGTAGTGAGTTTACATCTTACAAAAAAAATTTAAATTATAAAAAATAATATAAGACTTAAGAGTCTAAAAATAGAAAATACAATAGAATTTTTTCTTTCGTGTGTACAATTTTACATTGATTCTTATGTGAAATATTTAAGACTTAAGAGTCTCCGTTTGTTGTCCATTTAATTTCACTGCTGTCATTGGGGAAAAAAAATATTGCCGTATTTATGATGTAAAGGAGCATCAACTGAGATATAAAATAGATCTGTTCTGCATTTTCATTCAAATGTTTGACTTTTAGATTCTTATAAGAAGCATTTTTAGCAATTTTAGAGTTTCTGTTTGCTCTCCATTTAATCTCAGTGATGTCTAGAAGAATCAATCGAGATATAAACGTTTTATGGTGACACCTGAAGCCTTTATGTGTAATGCATTATAAAGGTTTTCATAATGCACACTTTAATGCATTATATCTTATCATAAATAATCGTAACAAATTTAAAATGCATTATATTTGCACATTCCTTGTTACATATTGACTGTTTGCCATGTGTTTTAATGCAAAATGCTCTCTAAATATGCAACAGTGAATATGCATTATAAGGTGCATTAAAATACTTTTTAATAGCAATGCATAGATAAGTATTGTAATGTATTCATAAAATGCATTAAAATGTGCATTAAAATACTTTTTAATGCATTATATTTAAAGGCTTCATTTAAAGCGTTACCTTGAATCCCAAGCACTTTTGTTTGTTTGTTAGTTAGTCTGCTAGTGTGTGTCAGCTCTAGTTTTTGGATTAGTGAGATTGAGCGCAGCACTATTGTAGTCGAGTGACCCGAGCCGCCGATGGCATGCTGCTGTCTTCTTTTTTTCTTTTCTCCCCCAAAAGCGACAGCATAAGCTGAAACCCTAGTGCATTTGTTTTGTCGGGACAAAGAGGGGGAGGCTCCGGCCGCTCGAGAGAGGAGGGGGTAGTAAAGGTTTGTTCCCCTGCAGGGCACTTGTGGATGGGGGTGTTGTTGTGCCTGTGTGCAGCTCAGATGTGTGTTTTCTCAGCGCTAAAGAAAATTGCATCAGTATGCATTATCCAGCTGGGAGAGGCCACAGGAGGAGGGCCGTCTCTCTCTCAGTCCTCCCACTAGAGCCGACTCAGTCATGGGCACAGAGGAGCCCAGCCGCTCTCTGCATGGACTTACACTGGATTAATCAACTCACCTCACTTTATTTATTTGCATATTTATGGTTTTTCTACTATCTTGAGCCCTGAATGCGGACGCGGAGCATTATGCACTCCAGAGTGAAGTCGCGGAGCTGCGATAATTACCTGAGTATAAAGGTAAGCGCAGGTATTGTGACTGTCCTGTTAAACAGGAAAATGTCTTTGCTTACTGCAGGTCCATAAATAAAAACACTTTTGTTACTTTAAATAAAATAAATGTTAAGTAAAATATAAAAAAGCGTGCACTTATTTTATTCCAGCTGTTTCCAAGTCAACGTTTCTCATTTTTATTTAATTTAACTTGATGTACTGAAATACCTAAAACTAAAACTCAAATAAAATTAATTAAAAAAAAAATTACTAAAACTTTAACTAAAATTAACATGAAAGTAGAACATTCAACATATTCAAAATATGAACAAAAACTATATTCTGTAGTATATTTACATTAATTCATTAGTAGATGCTTCTATCCAAACTGACTTGCAAATGAGCAAATGTTATGGTGCCTTTACAGTATATACACCATCATAACCATATTTAGATTATATTTTGGTTGTTTTTTTGTTAGTTTTGGGGTTTAAAATACTCTTAATATTCAGTAATATTATCAGTCTGACTACTGTTGGATGAGAAAACAACTTGAACTGAATTGGTCTGAATGATGACATCATTGTCTTTAATTGAACTTGAATCGTTCAGCTTAGTTATTGAACTGAATTGAGTCGGATAATGGCACTGTTTTCTTTTTAGAGCTGTTTTATAGCAGAGTTTGAATTAGTCTCTTATTCGGAGGAGTTTGCATGATTGATTCTGTTATTTTCCTGGTTATTTCTCAGAATCTGTGTCGCAACAGTCTGTCTTGACTTGACCTTCCAGGTATTTCTGTGCTAATTCTAATGACACAGTGTTACCATCTTTTAACTCGACCTGTTTGGTAATGAGTGGCATTAGGGCTCACTTTAGTCTTTTGTGCTGTATTCCAGACATCATGGGAGCGGCGTCTTGAATTGATCCCTCAAATACAGCACTTTAACTCGTCTCGTAATCACCCATCGTTTGCTCACGGTGTCTGTGTGAGCTCTGAGTTTGCTCTGTGTTGTTGTGTCATCGCTCAGAGATTCACTACAGAACCTGTTTGAGAGCAGCTGCGTGTGGCTTTTGTCCTCAGTGAGTCGATGGACGTTCCTTCTGTAGACGTCAACCTGTTCGACAGCTGCCAGTCACATCAGGTGCGCCGTTCACAGACTGCTTTCAAAATGATGGATTTAGCCAGAGACGTCACCATTATTCAGACATTCAGCTGATGATATGCAAATAATTGCAGTTAATAATTGTAAGCTTAACACACAGACACAATTATAATAATTATAATAATATTAATTATAATAGTTTAATAATAAAAATTTAATATAAATAAAATAATAAAATACTGTATATAATATAATATTTATTTGAAAGAAAATAAATCTTTGTTGTTGTTGTTCTATATAAGACAGAAAGTCATACAGGTTTGGAATGACATGATGGTGAGTAAAAGATGACAGATTTTTTATTTATTTATGTATGTATGTATGTATATTTATTTATTTAACCTTCGTTACGTATGAAAGAAGTCCTTAAAATGTTTGTTTAATGAGCTGTATTAACTGGATTTATTTACAAACAGACAGACAGACAGACTAACAAATACAAAAATAAATAAAGTTTTATCAAATTAAAAAGAAAATAAATTAAATAGAAAAAAAACTCCTTAAATTACTTGTTGCATTTGTAAATTGTTTTGGATAAAACCATCTGCCAAGTGAATAAATGTAAATAATATATTTTTGTTTATTTTTAGAAAAGCAAAGCAAGCCTGTAAACAGTTCAGGAAGTTTTCTGATGTCTTCACAGATGTTTTTTAAATAGCCGGTTCAGTTCAGCATCACGTATCTGAGTCGTCAGACCCCTGCTGTCGGCCCCATTGTGTTTCTCCTCCTCTATAATCCTGCATTTGTCCTCAGACGCTCTGGAGAGGTGTTAACGCTGCTTTGACACCTGCATGTACGAGGCGGCTCTCAGTAACCTGTGCTCTCGCTCCTGTTTCACTCCCTTCATGCTCCGCTGGAGAGCCTTTGTCTTCCTGACCCACTAGAAAGACCTTCCCGTCAGACTGTCAGGAGTTCACACGCGGTTTATTTAGAGCGGCTTCGTTTGGTGAATCACAGCTTAGTTACTGTATGCTTGCATTGCAGTAAAAGGCGTTTAAGTGCAGCTCAGGTCAATTAGAGCATCAATTATGGCAACGATTTGTTAAAACTGCATTTTTAGTGATCTGTTCAGGGTTCCCACAGTCTTGGAAAACTTTAAATTGTGGTTTCCAGGCCTGTAAAAGTCATAGAAGTCAATGAAACCTTAAAGTCATACTAATAATTTCCATAGTGAATATCAGTATTTAGTTGTTTGTTTTGTTTTACATTTAGTAAAAAAAAACCGATATATATATATATATATATACTTATCCCCAATTGTAAGTCGCTTTGGATAAAAGCGTTTGCAAAATGACTAAACATAAACGTGTGTATATATATATATATATATATATATTAAAGATTTATGGGAGATTTTTGTCCTGCAAACAATATATATATCAGCATATTAGAATAATTTTCTATGGATCATGTGACACTGAAGACTGGTGTAATGATGCTGAAAATTCAGCTTTGCATCATATGAATACATTAAATTTGAATATATATACATATAGAAAGCAGCTATTTTAAATTGTAATAATATTTCACAATTTTTCTGATTTTACTGTATTTTGATCAAATAAATGCAGCTTTGATAAGACATGAACATTCAAAAATATTATTTATTTCAAACTTTTGTATTATTGGGTTTGTAAGTCTGGTCACTTTAAAAAAGCAAACCGTTCCTCAACGAGCTGCATGATTTTGCTGCAAATGATGTGCTGCGGTTCAGGATAGATATGAGAAAGAGTCTGTTTGAGTCTGTAGGTCGTGTGGTTTTGTAGCAGATGTCCGTCTGTTTTAATAGAGCGGCAGTGAGCCATCTGGAATCCACGTCGTTTAGATATAATTATGGGTCCGGGTCTGATCCGTCACCATAAACACCATCAAAGAGGGCAGATCCTCCCAGATCCCACACACATCTCCTCTGAGCCACACTTGTGCTTTGGCTGCTATTAAAAGCTCGTTTACTGGCTTCAGCCAGGTGAAATAACTTCTTCAAGGTTATGGAAATGCATCAGAAGCTCTCCTTCTGCCCAGTCTTATTTAATCTTTCATCTTCAAAGCCACACATATCTCCAGTTCTCTGGAGATCCAGCGCTGTATGTTTAGTCTTCTCAGGCTTTAAAAGTGGTGTTTTGGGTGGGCGCACTGAGACTGATATGCAGGCCGTCCTGAATACAGCTTGTAGTTTAGACCATCGCTAAAGTTTTCAGGTTAAAACATGTTGTTGAAAAGATCTTCAGACTCCACATGTGCCAGAACCCTCAAACCCCATTAATTAACCTTTGATCCCCAACAGAAAGCCAAAATAAAAGGTTATTTGGTGGGGGTGTCTTGATAATGTTTGTATTCTATATATATTTCAATATACTTGAAAAAGTATTGAATTTATTTGAACACATGCATATATTTCCCCCCCCAAAAAAAGTTTAGTAGTGTCTTAATATTTATATAAAAGTAAAATAAAATATTTTGACAAGTGTATATATATATATATATATACTTTATATAGGGGTTAGGGTTAGGTTATAATCATTGCATTATAATAATTGCATTATTTAAAAAAACACATGCACAAAAATGAAATATATAAATAATAAACAAAAAATATGTATTTATTTATTTTTGGAAAAAAGAGAATATAATAAAATTAAATATATGTGTATGTAATGTTTTAAATAGGTATACATTCAAAATATTGTATAACTTGTATAACTTATGTATATATTTTCATATATATGTTGCAAAATGCACTAAATAAAATTATATATTATTGTTAACTTGCATTTATATTTACTAACACACAAAAACTAAATAATATATGATAATAAAATAAATTCTATCTATCTATCTATCTATCTATCTATCTATCTATCTATCTATCTATCTATCTATCTATCTATCTATCTATCTATCTATCTACCTATCTATCTATCTATCTATCTATCTATACTGTATAGGGCCCTATTATCATTTTTACTCCTGAAAGTCCGCAGGCCCTGAGGCCCAAGCAGCTATTTTGTAGCCTGCCACAGTAACCTAAAAAAGGACCGTTAAACGATGTTAGAAATCGTGTTGCCTTTCCTCCCATTGTTAGCCCTTTCCTCCAAACGGCGGTTCTGCTCTTCCCTGCAGTTCGAGCGCTGTGATTATTCCTGAGTGATCGAGTTTCCTAGAGCACCAGTTAAGACTTTCTGCAGGAGAACCAAACAATGGCTGCCTGTGGAGGAGTGACCATCTAATACAAGGCCAACAGAGCAGAAAGAACAGGGACAGTTAAAGTCAGAGCTTTTCTGGGGAATTTTCCTGGGCTTTTCCCATCTGCAGCTCAACTCAAACAAGTTCATTTCCATTTTCTGCACTCCTCTGCCCATTTAAAGTGACAGTTCACCTAAAAAGGAAACTGTTGTTGATTTACTCGCCTTCAGGCAATCTAAGATAAGACTTTGTGTCTTCAGTAGGCAAGTAAATAAAGATTTTTAGCTGAAACCGAGGTACTTGGTGATTCATAAAATGCAAGTCAATGGCTACCGGCACTTTGAGAGTCAAAAAAGCACATCAGACAACACAAAATGTGACTCCTGATGATATATTGAGGTCTTATGAAGCGAAACGATTGGCCTGTGCAAGAAATTGAACATTATTTGCATGGTTTATGTAAAACTTTTGAACCAGTTCTTTTTATTGAACTATTTGAACCAGTTCATCTAATCGGACTGAATCATCTGAATCAGTTCGTGTCTCTAGCAGCACAGATCTACAAGCTACTCAATCAGAACTCACTTTCAGACGCCTGACAGTCACTGAGCTGAAATAGCAGCGTATCTGATTCTGTGATGAATGAACTGATTCAGTTCCTCCAAGAGACACTGAACTGAACTGAGCAAACGGTTCGACTCGGACTGAAGACTGATGAGCCGCTGATCTGCGCATGCGTGAACCGAGAGCTTGAATGAAGGGGAGAAATGAACGTTTTATGGTTTCTCATGGTTTATGTAAAAAGGTGAGCTGATGAAGACTAGTTTATTCACTTTATATGCTTTAGAGACATAAAACATCCACATTTCACATCATTATTTGGTGCTTTAATCATATAAATGCGTATACGTTATGTCATTGCATGATTACATAAACAAATTGCGAATCAGTTATTTGAACCAGAAACAAACTGTTCGAAAGAGTCTCTGGATTACAGGTAATAATGTTGTAAATAATGTTTAGTTTCTTGCACAGACCGATCGTTTCACTTCGTAAGACCTCAATATATCTTAAGGAGTCACGGGGATTAAAACCCATTTAATCCCACCGGTCACAATAGTGACCGTAAAAACGGTTTTCATTGATAAAGCTGTAAAAACCTTACTGACTGATGTTTTAGTGTACTTCCTGCAAATATGGAAAAAATAAAGGGTCTCAATTAAATACGTGCAGTGTCACATGATTTGTGCAAATTGTCACATGACCAGAGCAGGTTACTTCCTGTTTGCACCTTGAGAAGATGATGGCTGCATCAAAGCTCAAAAACGAAAGGCTAGTAAAGTATGTTAACATAAAGATTTTTGGCACACAATATCTTTAAGGTGTCTAGAATTCACATATATTCATTTTTGTTGAGTGTGGTCATAGAATGAGTAAACATGTTGATGGTCACAATAGGTATACAATATAAATCCAGTTGCATTTGTTAGTGAAAATTACACTAAAATTTTGCAATGACAAAATATTACATTAAATTAAAAGTTCAAATGTTACAAAAAAGTTGCAATATTGATGTTGTAATACTGGTAGCACTAATATAAAAATTTGATGATATATGTTACAAGAAGCAACAGTTTTGAAATATGTCAATGGTTGTATTTTTTGTTTGTTTTTGTCTTATCTCAGTGTTCCTATCAATGTTGTATAAGGGTTTTTATGCATAATAGTAACCCTAGAATGTGATCAAAGAGTTTAAAATAGCTGGGCTAAGATATATAACAATTTTTTGACTGCAGAAATATGTTAATTCAGTAAACACATTATCCCACCGGTCACAGTTGTGACTGACCATAAAACACAATTTTTCACTTTTCCAAAGAATTAAAAAAAAAAGAATTGTTGATTATTTCAAAGGGTTAGTAATGTCACATCATTTGGATATTTTCATGTCTGGGAAAGATATGGGATTAAAACGGGTTAATTTTGTGTAGCCTGATGTGCGTTTTTGACTCGGTAGCCATTGACTTGCATTTTATGAATCACCAAAGAGCACGGTTTCAGCTAAAAATCTTCTTTACCGTTCTACTGAAGAAAAACTCAACTACATCTTGGATTCAAATTAACAGCAAATATTCATTTTAGGCTGTACTGTCCCTTTAACCTAAAACTGAGCGTCCCAGGTCGCGGTTGTGTTAGTCTAGGATACTGTGACACATATCCGGCTGGAAAGTCCTCTGCTCCACAGATATGATGTAGTTCTGCGTTAGGGACAGGATTTTCCATCCCGCCTGCTATTGTCCAGTTGGTGACGCTACATTGACAGGTGTTTCCTGTCTCATCAGTGTCCCGCGACCTCCTGACATCCTGCTGTTCGTGTTTGTAACTGGGAACTGTGGGATTGAACTTGTGACCATCAAACCGTCTCACTAACCAACCCAAACACAACATGCTGCCAATGTTTGCACGATCGCACTCTGCTCAATCATCGGGCGCTTGATTCAGTCTATAATGACAGAAAGTGATGCTTCATGTGTCCTACAGTAAATTAGTGACAACAAAATTTCAGCAATTGAAAATATTAAGCTAAAAATGAATTTTCGGTATTGGCCGAAACAGTTTTGTAGGGCTGAAATTATTGACATTATTTTTTATTTATTTATTTATGTTTATTGGACTAGCATGGAAATTTGTCATGTAATCTTTAAACTCGATATTGTATATTAACGGGCTGGTAATTCAGTTGACATTTAATCTATCTATCTATCTATCTATCTATCTATCTATCTATCTAGCTATCTATCTATCTGTGTGTGAATGTGTATATATGTATTATATTGTTATTATTATTATTATTTGTTATTATTATTATTCATTTTGGACATGCATGGAAATGTATCGTGCATAATGCAAATAAAAATATTTATATATAGTAAAATAAATGTTTTCTTATTTGTTCGTTAGTTTATTTGTATTATGCATAACAATTTTTCACACTTATTATGCTTTTTCATGCTTTTCGAATAAAATATATATAAACATGTCCATTTTTGGAATGCTAGGGCTGGGTTGACTATCGATTTTTATTTTTATTCAATCTTCATTTCATGAACCGAGATATGTGACACTGGACCACAAAACCAATCATAAGGGTCAATTTTTTGAAATTGAGATTTATACATCATCTGAAAGTTGAATAAATAAGCTTTCCATTGATGTATGGTTTGTTAGGATAGGACAATATTTGGCTGAGATGCAACTATTTGAAAATCTGGAATCTGAGGGTGCAAAAAAATCTAAATATTGAGAAAATCTCCTTTAAAGTTGTTCAAATGAAGTTCTTAGCAATGCATATTACTAATCAAAAATTAAGTTTTGATATATTTACGGTAGGACATTTACAAAATATCTTCATGGAACATGTCCTAATGATTTTTGGCATAAAAGAAAAATTAATAATTTTGACCCATACAATGTATTTTTGGCTATTGCTACAAATATACCCCAGTGACTTAAGACTGCTTTTGTGCTCCAGGGTCACATATATGCTGTTTTCAGTTGATGCATGAACAAAATTTCACTAAACATTATTTGAAGCACACCTGTCATCCAATAATTACAATAAGCTTTGTTGCTTTTGTTATATAACAAGCTTTTAAATATTGTCAATTTTATAGCCAAACTCAAACAATGTACAGTAAATGTTTGTGGTAGAAGGCGAGATTGACTGTGTGAATGTGTGATCTGTTGCAGGACTCGGAGTCGTTGGACCGCTGCATTCGGAGCGTGTTATCGGCTCTGTATCCCCCGTTCAGCGCGTCGGCGGCCACCGTCCTGTGGCAGCTCTTCAGCGTCGTGGAGAGACAGTACCGTGGAGACGGCCTGCACTGCTTCATTGACTTCCTGCTGCCCGCCAAGAGAATCCTGCAGACAATAACACAGGAGGCCTGTGTGAGTACTGTCAGCTTCAGCAGACGCATTTTCACTGAAGCATTTCCAAGTTAATAAAAACAGCGGGCAATATCTACTAATAGATCACAGTTTTTGTTATTTACCAAATGTATAATATAATTATTACATATAATATAATATATATTATGTATAATATAATTATTTATACAAAGCCACCTAGGTGACGTTCACACAATATATATATATATATATATATATATATGTGACCCTGGACCACAAAACCAGTCATGAGGGTCAATTTAATATCCTAATGATTTTTGGCATAAAAGAAAAATCAATTATCTTGACCCATACATTGTATTGTTGGCTATTGCTACAAATATACTCCAGCGACTTAAGACTGCTTTTGTGCTCCAGGGTCACACACATATATATACAGTATATATATTATATTATGCATAATACGTTTACATACATATTCAAATAAATAAATACATATTTGTTTTTTTTTTATATATGTATTTACATTATGCATAATGTCCATGGTTGTTGAATAAAAACAACTTATTTATTTATTTATGGAGCCTGCATGGTGATGCATCATGCATCACGCAATCTTTAAACTCGATATTGTGTATTAATGGCCTGGTAATGCAGTTTACACAGGTTTGCTGAATATTTTATTATTTTGGATAAAATATATTGTTGAAATCCATAGTGCTGCAGCTAAACATGTTCAAGCCATTTAAATGCTCTCAGAGAGAAACATTGTGAGAGTGGGAACATGAGAGGGAGGAGGAATACTTCAGGCTGAAAGAGGGTTCAGTGTTGCTCTGATAAACAGCCCAAACAGAGGGTGTTGTGAGCTCGCTGCGGAGATCTTGGCAAAGAGGATCAGGCTGAAATGAAAGACCTGCTCAGGGAGGCTTTGTATTTCTGCAGGTTAGCACTGTGTGAGCACATAGCTGAAACCTTACGCTCCTGTATTCAGCGCTGCCGTTGTTAGTCTGAGACGAGAGATCTCAGCGGCCTCATTTAACTCAGGCATGATCTTTGAGGGAGTCACAGTGTGCTGAACTTACATGTTCCGGCTGCAGCATCAGTATCATTATACAGTGGCATCAGGGAGTCACTAACAATGCTACTAAATTAACTGTTTTTTCAGTAGCATTAAGTATATAAGTAGCGAAGTTCTTTATTGATGTACCATGATAAAATGCCTTTTTCACACTGTGTTGTCTGTGCAGGTCTCTCATAAAAAATGTTGGCCAGTCTGATTTATTGTGTTAAATTGCTTGTTAGCGCACTACAATGTTTATTTATTTGTTTGTTCATTCATTCATTCATTCATTCATTCGCTGAATTATTTGAATCCCTGCAAGGAATTTTACATCTTTTTAATTTTAAATTTTAATCCTTATGTTTAATGTTTTCATTACATAAATTATAGTGTTTTCTAATTTTATTAGCTGATATTCTATTTATTGAAATTGTATCTTTTCAAATCAGTGATACTTTAATTTCATTGAGGTACTATTATAGTTTTTTTTTATTAAAAAAATAGTTTTTATTTTTATAATTTTATTTTAATTTTGGTTAAAGTTTTAGTAATTTTGTATTCCTCATTTTTGGTTAAAGTTTTAGTAATTTTGTATTCCTCATTTTTAGTAGTTTTTGTTTATTTTAAATATGTCTATATAGTTTTTTTTATTAAATTATTTCAGTTTCAGTTTTATTTATTTTTTAACATCAAGTTGAACTAAATGAAAATGAGAAATGAACTAGCTAAAATAATTAAAAAAGCTTTTTATATTTTATTTTATTTCGGTTAACAAAAATACAAGTATGCCACCTAGTTGTCATTTTTGCAATTCTATTGAGTGATAAAGAAATTATGATTTCTTTCACTTTTATAATTATATTTATAATTATATTATTTATAATAATTTAACTTTTAGATATATATTTTAGAATTCCATGATGTTCTAATTCATTGCATTTTTGTATCTTGAAATCTGCTTCAAGACAGGAATTAATTAATGATTACAAACTGCAAATAACTGCATATTGTTGCTTGTACCTGTAAGAAAAGTGACATTTTATCTAATGAATTCATCCTTTTAATTTTCCACAGCTGCGATTCAAAGGCCTGTTGCTGTACCACGAGGGATGGCCGCTGTCTTTGCATGAGAAGGTGGTTCTGCAACTCGCACCCCTGCATAAAGTACGTCTACGGCAGGGAGATTTCTACCTGCAGGTGGTTCCCTTAGGCCGCAAAGCTGCCAAACTGGTCATAAAATGCCTGTCAGGGAGCGGGCAAGCCATTGTGGAGATCCCTGTGGCCGAGAGCATGTACGGCAGCGTGTTCACGCCCGACTTCTTGCAGAATGTAATGCGTGAACGCAACCTGCACCCTCTCCAGAACTGCCTCCTCAGTACCGGTGCCGTGGTTTACCGAACGCCCTGGAAGAACGTGGTCAATCCTTTGTTTGTGACCAGCACCGCAGATTCAATCATGCAGGCGCGGAGCAGCGGCGGGACCCTGCGGGGTCAACTCAGTACCTGTAGCACCCACGGATCCACGGGAACGCTCAGTTCACGAGACTCCCTGGGCGCTGAGTCCACCGTGTCCGAGCCAGTCCTCAGCAGGAGCCTCACGGATATGGGCATCAGCTCCCTGCACTCGGAGGATTCGCCCTTGCAAAAGAGTCCTAACTCCCTTCCCCAGACACCCACCTTGGGCAGCCCGGATCAGGGATGCATTCGAGGCAGAATCGGCCACAAAATCCTCTCGTTTAGCACAGACCTTAGCAATCCCGGCCTTCACAAGCGGCATCCCAGAGACTCTGCTGCCTTCGAGTCTCGCCGGCTTTTCCGCAAGTCCTACATGGAGGCTTTGCAGAACCCTATGAACCTTGGCTCCAGCTCTGAATCAGTTCTTGAGGAAGGGACAGAGTCGGAGCCAGGAGCGCCTCGCGGCTCTGGCCCAAAGGAGCCGATCCCTCGGAGAATCTGTGTTCGTGGATGGCTGGGAGGAGATGAATCATGCAACGATTCTACCGCCGTCCATCCATCCAAGAGCGCCGAGCTCAGTCCGGGCGAGAGACGCTCCAAATCTCTTGAACGTGCCAAAAAGGCCTTGCAGGTTAAAGGCCACCGGGCTCGGTCGTCTTCCGGTGGATCCGGTAGTGGCCTTCCCAAGAAACTTATGAATGGTTATGCATTTCGTTTTGGAAAATTGGACTTGGAGGCGGCCTTTCCTGGCATCGAGAAACGGAGCAACAAAGAGAACTCAGGTAAAAACGTTTGCCAACTCTTTTGAAGTTTGCCATTCCAGTGCCAAGGTCATGGGTTCGATTCGCAGAGAATGCATGAACTGATCAATTGCATACCTTCAATGCAATGTAAGTCTCAGGGGTGTCCAATCCTGCTTCTGGAGGGCCTACGTCCTGCAGAGTTTAGCTCCAGCCAGTGCAAACACACTTACATGGAAGTTTCTAATGAGTCTTAAGACCTTGATTAGTTGGTTCAGGTGTGTTTAATTGGGGTTGGAACTAAACTCTGCAAGACAGCGGCCCTCCAGGAACAAGTTTGGGCACTCTTGGTGTACATAAAAAACGAGTACAGCATCTTGTTTGGGATTCTTTCCCACCAAAAACAAGACCAGAACAAGCTTCCCTTAATAAATCATGGCACTAGCAATGTCAAGATCATGGGTTCGATTCCCAAGGAATGCATTAACTGATAAAATGCATACTTTCAATGCAATGTAAGTCACTTTGGATAAAAGCATCTGCCAAATGCATAAATGTAAATGTCACCATATTGTACATCAGGGGTGTCCAATCCAGCTCCTGGAGGGCCAAAGTCCTGCAGAGTTTAGCTCCAACCAGTGCAAACACAATTGCATGGACGTTTCTATTGAGTCTGAAGAGACCTTGATTAGTTGGTTCAAATTCAGGTTCATTTAATGGCCCTCCAGGAACAGTTTTGGACTCCCCTGCTGTACATAAAGAATGTGGCAGAGCATCTTGTTTGGGATTATTTCCCACCAAGAACAAGACTAGAACAACCTCCCCCTATCAAATCATGTCACCTGAGGCCTTAAGAGCCAGTTCTGGTTCCAGACTTGGCGTTAACAACGACAAGGTCATGGGTTCGATTCCCAGGGAATGCGTGAAGTGATGAAATTAATATCTTCAATTCGGTGCAAGTCACTTTGGATAAAAGAGTTTGCCAAAAGCATAAATGTAAATGTCACCATGCTGTACATCAGGGGTGTGCAATCCTGCTCCTGGAGTGCCAAAGTCCTGCAAAAATTTAGCTCCAACCATTGCAAACACACTTACATGGAAGTTTCTAGTGAGTCTAAAGACCTTGATTAGTTGGTTTAGGTGTGTTTAATTAGGGTTGGAGCTAAACTCACCCTTGCTGTACATAAAGAACGCAGCAGAGCATCTTGTTTGGGATTCCTTCCCACGAAATACAAGACCAGAACAAGCTTCCCTTAATAAATCATGGCACTAGCAATTTCAAGATCATGGGTTCATTTCCAAGGGAATGCATGAACTAAAAACTAAAAACACATCTGTTCCACCTTTATTTGACCCTCTACGATTCACTACCAGCGGTGTTTTAGTGTTTAAAGGCGCTCGACTCTTGGGGGTTGCATGAAGTCTTAGTTTAGATGTAGGTAGAATAGTGGGGGAACGGGGAGTAGTTAGGAAGGGGATTTATGAATGAATTCTCATCTGTATTGACCGTTGTGATAATTATTGCATATGAATTTATGTGATTTGGGGTTTTTGAGTTGGTGTCATATTGGTAAGGATGGCATCTGTTGAAGACTTTATTAAAACTCCGTCGGAGACTTTATTGAATTTGTTGTCCAAAGCCCAATTGTGGGAGCTTATAGAATATTATGGGATTGGAGAATTAGACAAACGGGTAAAAAAGAATGATTTGAAAGCGATTTTGAAAGAAGTTGGGTGAAAAGAAAATTCTGTCGGTCGGAAAGGGCGCTCCATTGGAGTTAAAGGAATCAGTAGACATTTTTTCAGGTTTACCATTTGACCAAAAGAAAGAAATTTTGGAAATGCAACAAATGCATGATAGGGAGATGGTTAAAGTAGTTAAAGAACATGAGGTTGAGTTGGAAAAGATAAAAATGGATGAAGTACTTAAAAGACGTGAGATTGAATTATGGCAACTTAAAAATACTCAACAGTTGGAAGCTGAAAAATTGTCAAGAGAGTTTGAGTTGCAAGTTCAACAGTTAAAGTTAATTGGGGAAGGTAAATTAATTCCTGATGGTGCACCATCGAATGAAAATAGATCGCGTACATTTGATGTGGTGAGTAATTTAATGTTAAAATAAATGTTTTGTTAAGTATTGTTGCGTCTGGACTCCTCTTTGTTGCAGCCTAAGAGCCGGCTGTAACAGTATGTGTGTGTGTGTGTATATATGTGTATATATGTGTGTATATATATATATATATATATTAGTCTGTGTGTACCTTGCTACGTGTACTGTGTTAGGCTAACCGAGACTTGTCATTTGCACTTATATATTGTTGCTCTTTTGTTAGTTTTGACTGCTTTTATTGTCCTCATTTGTAAGTCGCTTTGGATAAAAGCGTCTGCTAAATGACTAAATAAATTAAATAAAATAAATAAATGAACTGATCAAATGCATATGTTGAATGCGATGTAAGTCACTTTGGATGAAAGCATTTGCCAAATGCATAAATGTAAATGTCACCAAACTGTCCAACAGGGGTGTCCAATCTTGCTTCTGGAGGGCCAGCCCACCAAGAACAATACCAGAACAAGCTACCCTTATCAAATCGTAGCATTTGCAATGTCAAGGTCATGGGTTTGATTCCCAGGGATTGCTGATGGGATGACATGCTTACCTTGAATGCAATGTGGACATCCTTGATGTACAGTATGGTGACGTTTACATTTATGTATTTGATCAGTCCATGCATTCCCTGGGAATCAAACCCATGACCTGGGTTTGATGCTCTGATGAAATGCTTACCCTGAATGCAATGTAAAAGCGTCTGCGAAATGCATAAATGTAAACCAGGCTACTGTACATTGAGGGTGTCCAATCCTTCTCCTGGAGGGCCAACATCCTGCAGAGTTTAGCTCCAACCAGCTCCAACACACTCGTGTGGACGTTTCTAGTGAGTCTATAGACCTTGATTAGTTGGTTCAGGTGTGATCACCCTTCATGTACAGTATAGTGATTTTTACATTTATGCATCTGGCAGATGCTTTTATCCAAAGCAACTTGAGTTGCATTCAAGGTGTGTATTTGATAAGTTCATGCATTCCCTGGGAATCGAACCCATGACCTTTGTGTTGCTAACATCATGCTCTACTGGAGCTAAACTCTGCAGGACAGTGGCCATACAGGAATAGGTTTGGACTCCCCTGCTGTACATAAAGAATGCTGCAGAGCATATTGTTTATGATTCTTTCCCACAAAGAACAAGAGCAGAACAGACTTCCCTTATCAAATCATGTCACCTGAGGCCTTAAGAGCCAGTTCTGGTTCCAGACAGTTGTGGTCCAGTGTGTAATTATCACTTGCAGCAAACTCCGGGACAGTCAACAAGCTTAGATTTTTGGAGGAGACAGCTTGTCATTCCTCTGGCATGATTTTATGGCTTGCAACTGGCTGCATGTGAGGGCTAATAGCGTGTGTGTTTTGGAATGCTTCAGCGGCCCTGCCCAATTATAGAGGGTGCTTGTCTTTCTGAAGTGTTTGCTGTACCCCAAAGGCACGATACTGCACTGAATGCATTGCCAAGGAGACTGCACTGTTTTATTTAGCTCTTCCTGCTATTGAGCGTTTGAAAGAAAGAGCGTTTTGCCCTCCGTCTAGTGCTTCAGGCAAGAGGTGTGTTTGGGTCTATCCGCAGGAAATTCCAAACTGTCCGGCATTCTTAAGATTCTTAAGACCGTGTATGACCAGATACATTTATGAGCAAAACCCGTCTTTTCATATTAATCCAGTTAGTTGATCTAGCTGTGCCAAGTGACATTATACTTGGTCAGTCACTTTATTTTCATTTTAATTGCGTTCCACTCCACTCATAATGAAATGATCCACATAGCTGTATATTAAAAATAAATAAAGATACTGTTTTTGAAATCAAATCTTTGCATAATTATGACAGGAAACACTGGAATCTAACAATGCCTTAGAAAAAAACAGTTGATCTTAAAAAAAATAAAGCATATACATAAACCCTATCGGATAAGCATGTTATAAACTTCTGAAACATTGGTGTTTCATATTTTAGAGCAGTCACTGCAACTTATGAAATAACTCAATTAAATCTGTATGTGGGAGTGTGTGTGGAAAAAAATCAGATGTAACCCCCTTTGTAATCCTTAACATGTTCATAAGTAACTGTAATTTAATTACACATTTTTTTCTTAGTAACTGTAACTGATTACAATTACTTTTATTTTGTAATTAAATTACGTAATTCCGTTACATGTAACTAGTTACTCCCCAACACTGTATATATATATATATATATATATATATGAATAATCTGCTTGAATGATATAACGAACTCTAACTACTTTGAACAGAGTAAGAGTAAGAACAAAAATATGACCTGTCACGGCAAGCCTGGTTAGGAAGTGGTGCTAGGTGAATTCATTCTCTATGGCTCTCATTTTACTTTCGTTCTCTATTTAACACACACACACACACACTGAGGGGTTTAGGTAAATTCCCATCTGGGATTCTGCAGAGTCCCTCTGTTCTCTGGCTTTCTTTCCCACACATGAAAATCAGAGCCATTATGTCTGGGAAGGAAGCCACAGCGGATCCGATGACCCACCTGAGGGAGGATCTCTGCGCCGCTTACCTGCTCGACTCCCAGCGCTGTTCAGCTCCCTTCCAGATGGTTTGCCTCCGTCATAATGGGGACCTTTGTGTCCCGTTGGGCCGGTGAGGATGCTGAAGAGAGGCTTAGAGAGTAAAGCCCATCTCCATGTAATATCTGTCCTGTTACAAAGCCCGAGCGAAGCAGGGGTCAGTCAGACTTTGTTCAGCAAACAAATGCCAATGACTTTGAGGCTGGATCAGATTACGGCTGATGTGGTTTTGCTTGGCCTTTGTGATTACATTGGGTCCCTTGTGATTTGAACTGGTTCCCATGATACCCCAGAGCTCTCACAGAGACGTATGCAAACTCAACCAAATGTTGTCGGGCGGCTTTCTGAACAGTGTTGGTTAGTGAATATCTACAAGCAGCGACACTATTAACTTGGTTTATCTTTCCCAGTAACAATATGTTTTCCAACTAGTAGTCGTGTACAGCTTTACAAACGAGCAAACTGATAAGAAACTCACATGTAGCATTGGAAATTCTGATTTGTTCTAGTGAATCAGTTCATTCAGATGATTCATGTAAATGAACTGATTCAAAAAAGTCTATTTGTTCTATTGAATCAGTTCATTCAGATGATTTGTGTAAATGAACTGATCCAAAAATAAAAGTCTATTTGCAACATTTTTATAGCATTGGAAATTAATTTTCATGCCAGTGAATCAATTCATCCAAATGATTCATGTAAATCAACTGATTCAAAAAAGTTTGTTTGCTACATTTTGATTTGTTCTAGTGAATCAGTTCATTCAAATAATTTATGTAAACTAACAAGCAACATACTTTTATAACATATTTAGTTACATTCTGAGTTTATTAATAATTATTACAGGTTTTTTTATTTTTTATTTCAGTAAGTATAATTATATCTGTTAAAGTTTAATGACGATACCCTGATTGAGAATCATTAATTCAGAAAAATGTGTGACCTGTGCTGGCAAAATGAGTAGTAATGCGCATGGGACAAACAAATGGAGTTGCTAACTGTCTTACAATGATATACGCCGGATGGTTTCTATTCTCCATCTCGGGCAAAGTCCCTTTTCTAAATAGTCTTTGATCTCTGGTGCATTTGAGCGTATTATCTCAATTTACTCAGTCGTTTCCCTCGAATCACCACATCGTGATAAGTTACTTAAAAATTAAAACATTTATGTCCAGATGTACATTTTTCCAAGAATACATTAAACAATTCGAGTCCAGTTGAAGTATATTAAACTCAACACAACATAATCTGATACAATAGGAATGAAGTCATGAATCCGAGTCATCTCTTGTTTAATATGTATTTCCCAGGGCTCATTGTTCAACGTACATTTAAACCATCACGTTAATAATGCAAAGGAGAGCAAGTAGAAAATAATATAATAATAATAATAATAGCGAAAAAAAATCACGTGGAGAGTCATAATGCACAACTGTCACCATTTAGAATTAAACAAACTTGTATTCGTGATGACCCGAGCTGACGCAGAAAGTTAATTGTGAAATGTTTGTGCTTTGTAGAGTAAAGTACCGGCAGTTCAAGCATTTTCATAATCTCT